GCACTGCATCCGCACCAAAAACGTGCAGGACCCTTTTTTTAGGTCCGCACTGGAATCAGATCGCATGGGTATTCACACCTATGCGATCCGATTCTGCACATCGCACCGCGTTTTGCGGACCGCTTTTGGGGTGTTGTTAACTTAACATACACACCCGCAGAGGTTCGCATGAACGGGTGCGATTCTGATGTGGTGAGGAATTCACGCTGAAAACACTGCAAATTCTGCACCGCATCAGTGTGAACCAAGTCTCCATCTGTTTTTTTTGGAGTACAGGATGCCGGCGGGTGTCAGCGGACTATTGTCCACTGACACCCGCCAGTCCATAGAAGTCTATGGATGGACCGATTGGGTCCGCCTGAAAAATGCTCGAGTGAAAATGGGCTGCCCTGTGCATGTTTATCACCCGATAAAAGCTCCTTCTCTTGATTTGGGGCGACAAGCTTCATGTGATCTTTTGAGGCACTTTTAGCTGCTTGATTCTGATTCGTGACAGTCGTAGCAAAATTTCACTGTGTTTGCGGCACCATTTAGAATGAACGGCAACCCAAAAGCGCGTTGCGTGTTTTGCAGCGATCGACGCACGGTTTGGAATCCCAGGCAGAATTTCGATGATTCTGTTTGTGATTTCAAACCGCAAAGTGTAAATGGGGCCTCAAACACACCGTCAGCTCCTGGCAGAGCGCATGGAGGGTGAAATCCTGGGATTAGCAGAGCTGTGTGTCAAACCTCAGCTTTTACCACTCCCCTTTCCTCCAGGGAGACATGGATGGGCTGTGCAGCTTCAAGCTGTGCTCGTATCCTAGGCCTCAGCTCCAGTATTATTGTTTTTACCACTCCCCTTTCCTCCAGAGAGACATGGATGGGTTGTGCAGCTTCAGGCTGTGCCTGTATCTCAGGCCTCAGTTCCAGTATTGTTGTTTTTACCACTCCCCTTTCCTCCAGGGAGACACGATTGGGTTGTGCAGCTTCAGGCTGTGCTCCTATCCCAGGCCTCAGCTTCATTGGTGTCATTGTTGCCCCCCCCCCACCTTCCTGCATGGTGGCGTGCATGGGCTGTACAGCTTCCAGCTGTGCTTGTATCTCAGGGCTCAGCTCCAATATTATTGTTTTTACCACTCCCCTTTCCTCCAGGGAGACATGAATGGGCTGTGCAGCTTCAGACTGTGCTCCTATCCCAGGCCTCAGCTCCAGTATTATTGTTTTTACCACTCCCCTTCCTTCCAGGGAGACATGGAAGGGTTGTGCAGCTTCCAGCTGTGCTCATATCCCAGGCCTCAGCTCCACTATTATTTTTACCGCTCCCCCTTCCTCCAGGGAGACACGAGTGGGTTGTGCAGCTTCAGGCTGTGCTCATATCCCAGGCCTCAGCTCCACTATTATTGTTTTTACCACTCCCCTTTCCTCCAGGGAGACATGAGTGGGTTGTGCAACTTCATGCTGTGCCTCTATCCCAGGCCTCAGCTTCACTGGTGTCATTGTCACCCCCCACCTTCCTCCATGGGGACATGCATGGGCTGGGCAGCTTCCAGTTGTGCTTGTATCTCATGCCTCAGCTCCAGTATTAGTGTTTTTACCACTCCCCCTTCCTCCGGGGAGACGTGGATGGGTTGTACGGCTTCAGGCTGTGCTCATAAAAACAGCACAGCAGCAATGATTTCATTTCATCCCCCCCTCTCCTGCGGTATCCCGTGTGGGGGCGTCCTCTGTGGAGATGAGTCACGATCTTCTACTCTGCATCGCTGTATTCAGGACATTTATTCATCTACCTGTCACATGGCACACAGTCACCCCATGACTGCAGGGGCCTGGGGAGGGCGAGCGGACAGCCATAGTGGGGCAGATAACAGGCCAAAGGGATAAGGGAAGAAATTTCGGAAAACGTTACCAACATTTAAGTAGAAACGCCTAAAATGGTTATAAACCCTTACATATACCAGATGTTACAAATCCTCCTGCATAAGTTGTACCTGTCCATCTGCAGTCTTCTCTTCTCTACATCTGTTCAAAGTGATGAGTACATAAAGCTTGTCTGAGAGATCAGAAAAAAGGGGGCGGGAGCTGAGATTACACAATGCAGAGCTCAGTGAGGAGAGCTCTGAGAGCTGATTGGAGGGTAGAGACACACCCCTCTCCACTCAGCACACAGGAACAGAGCTGAGGCTGTCAATGCAGTGAGTTTCTATGCTGAGCATTTCCTCCCTATCTCAACTGATCATAAGTGGGCGTATACACACAGTGGTAAATGACAGCCCACTCTCTCCCTTCTCCTCCATGCCCACAGACCAGCTAAACACAGTGGGGGAGGGGGATATTACATCTTGATTGACGGAGGCTTCACCTCCCTGTTATTCTAAGACAAAGGCTGGAGGGGCGTGACACAGCCTGTAACTGTCAGAAATCCGCCCACACCATGTTATTGGCAAAAAAAAATTTTTCAATTCAAATATATATTTGTGCGGGCAGCTTTCCTGTTTAAAGTTTTGGCCGCAAAGGTTTTCCTGTGAAAAGCAGAAATGCAGTCATCACACCTTCGTACACATACTGATTGTACACATTGGGACAAAATTCAAAGTCGGTTTAGGACCAGTCAAACAAGGAAATTGTGTAAAAGGGATTAAAAAAGCACAGGGGTAATGCTTTGGGCCACCAAGGTTGTGTGTAGATAGGACTATCAAGCCATCAATGCTTCATAAGCTGGAATTTGATTGTAGACCAACAATGTGTTCTTTTGGCACAATAGGGAAAACGTCAAAAACATCAACTGAGACCTCAGAGTGTTCAGCATGATCCTAAAAGTTAGTCTGAACCATTCAATGCTCTAGCGTTCTATGGCCAAGTATGCATGAATTCCCCTCCAAATGGCTGAGTTCAGGGGTTTCCAGTGAAGGGTACTTTTACAAAGACATTTCAGATAATTGTGGTCTTCCAAATTTGTGGTAGCAGGTTGGTGAAGACCCTTTCCTGTTCCAGCAGGACTGTACCCCCTGTGCACAAAGCTCCATAAAGACATGGTTTGACCAGTTTGGTGTGGAGGAACTTGAGTGTTCTGACCCCAACCCTACTGAAACACCTTTGAGATGAAATAGAACACCAGTTGTGATCCAGGTCTTCTCATCTTCTGACCTCACAAATGTTCTTTTGGCTGAACGGACACAAATGCCCACAGAAACACTCCAGAATCTCATGTAAAAGCCTTCCAAGAAGAATGGAGTTTGTTAAAGCCACCCAGGTGGGGGGACAACTCTCCATGGTTTTGGAAGGAGATGTCCAACAAGCTCATCTAGGTGTGACGGTCAGGTGTCCAAAAACTCCTCCATCTACCATTAGTATCTTCATCTCTCATCAGCCCCTGACCTCGCAGACGGGCATTCCCCCAGACATCCTCCAAAATCTTGTGGAATGCCTTCCGAGAAGAGTGGAGGACATTATAACCACAGAGGGGATCAGCTCATACTAACGGCCATGTCCAATAGGATCAGATGGATGTTAGGTGCCAAAAATGATTTTGCAGCGAAGTGTAAATTTTAGAAATGGTTAATGGAAGGGGATGATGCAAAATAGGTGTTTACTTATCACACCCAAAGTAATTAGTTCAACCTCAGACAGCAAAACTAGGAGCAAGACTTTGATGATTCACTTCACAGATAATTTCAAGCACCACCAATTAAAAATGCAATCGGTTTCATGGTAAACAGGATAAAAGTGAGAGACTCAGGCCTGAAAGTTAGGAGACACAAAACTACAATCACCAGTGGGGGGGGGGGGGTGCAAAATGCCTTAAAGAAGAACTCTGGGATAGGCAAAAAAAAATCACCCATTAGTACACCTCCCTACAAGCAAAGGCTGTTTGAGCCTGTCTTCTCTGATCCTCCCCTTTTTCTACTGTCCCCAATCCATCTTCTGATTGTACAGAGCTCTAGGAGTCACTCTGCACATGTTCAGTTTGGTGTGGATTGCCAGAGAGGTTTTTTTTTTTTTCTTTTCTTGGGAGAGTACATGTGATCAGCACAGGGCCAATCAGCACTGTCCGGACAGAGGGCAGGGGTTCTGCATCATCCTAGAGCAGAATGAAAACTCCTCCTACAAGCTTTAAACAGTGCTCTGCTGGACATTGATAGAAGTCACAAGACTGCTATATACTGCTGATGAGAAAAGGTATTTAGCAGTTTATATTTACTAAAATAATTGCATTTCCATGTTCTGTGTACTGTGGGAGACCAGATATAGTGAATGCAGGGTCTGGGGACGAGAGCGGATATGGTGAATTCAGGGTCGGGGAGACTGGATATAGTGAATGCGGGGTCCGGGGAGACCGGATATAGTGAATGCAGGGTCCTGGGAGAGCGGATATAGTGAATGTAGGTTCCGGGAAGAGCGGATATAGTGAATGCAGGGTCCTGGGAGACTGGATATAGTGAATGCAGGGTCCTGGGAGAGCGGATATAGTGAATGCAGGGTCCGGGAGAGCGGATATAGTGAATGCAGGGTCCTGGGAGACTGGATATAGTGAATGCAGGGTCCTGGGAGAGCGGATATAGTGAATGCAGGGTCCGTGGAGAGCGGATATAGTGAATGCAGGGTCCTGGGAGACTGGATATAGTGAATGCAGGGTCCTGGGAGAGCGGATATAGTGAATGTAGGTTCCGGGAACAGCGGATATAGTGAATGCAGGGTCCGGGGAGAGCGGATATAGTGAATGCAGGGTCCGGGGAGACCAGATATAGTGAATGCAGGGTCCAGGGAGACCGGATATAGTGAATGCAGGGTCCGGGGAGACCGGATATAGTGAATGCAGGGTCCTGGGAGAGCGGATATAGTGAATGCAGGGTCCTGGGAGAGCGGATATAGTGAATGCAGGGTCCTGGGAGAGCGGATATAGTGAATGCAGGGTCCGTGGAGAGCGGATATAGTGAATGCAGGGTCCTGGGAGACTGGATATAGTGAATGCAGGGTCCTGGGAGAGCGGATATAGTGAATGTAGGTTCCGGGAACAGCGGATATAGTGAATGCAGGGTCCGGGGAGAGCGGATATAGTGAATGCAGGGTCCGGGGAGACCAGATATAGTGAATGCAGGGTCCAGGGAGACCGGATATAGTGAATGCAGGGTCCGGGGAGACCGGATATAGTGAATGCAGGGTCCGGGGAGAGCGGATATAGTGAATGCAGGGTCCGGGGAGACTGGATATAGTGAATGCATTTTCCAGGGAGAGCGGATATAGTGAATGCGGGGTCCGGGAGACCAGATATAGTGAATGCAGGGTCCAGGGAGACGGATATAGTGACTGCAGGGTCCGGGGGAGACCAGATATAGTGAATGCAGGGTCCGGGGAATTTTCGTTTTCGTTCGGATTTCGACCCATGTATGACCTGCTTAACCACTTGCCGTCCGGGGGCCGCTGTATATAAACAGCCGGGCAGTGGCAGTCCAGGGGTGGGTTGCCGTTCATAAATGGTGCCCGCCATTTTGGATTTTGCACGCTCCCTGGGAGCTCGCGGCACCGCGATCCAGTGCCCGCTGTGTCCGGAGGATACAGCAGAACACCAATCGCTGTACAGGACCTCTGTGTGAGGTCCCGATCATGTGATCACGGATTGGCCAATCAGTGATCACATGAATAGGTGTAAGCAAGATGTCAATTCTGACATCATTGCTTACCACGTATGAAATCTGTGAATGATCACAAAGGTCACATGGTGCAAATGTATTCACAACAGCCTTGTACCATGTGACAAGCTGTGACCAATCACAGCTCACACAGTATTTTTCTCAATGGCTGCAGGAATGCAGCCAGAGAGAAGGAGAAATGATTGCTTTTACAGCCTTTATGGGTGTAAAAACAGTGTGAAAAAAAAAAATCATCACCCTCCTCTCTATGATGGCACTGTACTGCTAGGGTGACAGTATGTTAAAAAAAAAAAAAAAAAACCCATAAATAATAATATAAAAAAAAAATAAAATAAAAATGTAAAAAATTGTTTAAAAAATTATAATTTTTGGTTATAAACTAGTTTGGGTTATTTTTTTTACTAAAAAGATAACTGCATACATTTTGGCCAAGATTTATGAAGAAAGATTATTTATATGCAAAAGTTTATAAGAAAAACACTTTTTTTCAAACTTTTTTGACTTTTTCGTTTATATAACAAAAAAAAAAAAAAAATCCCAGTGGTGAATAAACACCACCAAAATAAAGTTTTATCTGTCTCAAAAAAATTATAAAAAATTCATATGGGTACAGTGTTGCACGACTGCGCAATTGTCATTCAAAATGTGACTGCGCTGAAAGCTGAAGTGTCCGGACATGAAGTGGTTAAGTGCTACTGCTAAAATCTGAGAAAAGCCTGTGTGTGAATGGACAGATAGGTCTTTATGGAGTTGAGTTCAGGGGCTTTGGCTCCTAAACTGACATTTCTGTGAGGCCTTTCTGTGCTATCAGATGTTCAGGCTGGAGAGGCGGACAAACATCAAATGTTATTGGAGGTCAGATATGTGTTTGTAATTATCTTCAGAGCTTTTTCTTGGATGCCTTCACTTACTTCCAATTGTTATTAGTTTATTATATGATGATTATTATTATTGACTTTCTCAGTCTTACAGTCCTTGCTGTTTACCTGCTATATGAGCAAGATTTGTAACTAGCGCCCCCTACTGGCATTTGCAGATTCAACATGTATGTCAGGGCAACATTTATTATTCTTAATATTATTATTATTATTATTATTTTATATATTGCCAACAATTCACACAATGCTTTACAAAGTGTACATTCACATCAGTCCCTGACTGCCCACAATCTAGGGTCCCTATCTCACATGCAGGCACGCACATACACATACAAGAAAAATATATTATTATTATTATACAGGATTTATGGCGCCAACAGTTTGCTCAGCGCTTTACAATATAACGGGAGACAATACAGCAACAATACAGATGAATACAAGAGGGATAGGAGGGGCCTGATCCTGGGAGCTTACAATCTAGGAGGGAATATTCAGTACAGCTCTGCAAAACATGCCATGCACTTCCCTCATGCGTTCTCCTTGTAAATATGGAAAAATACCGCTTGGCCTGCCAGAAATCCAATGGGCTCCAACTTCCTGTAGTGAGCTGACAACCCTGACCTCTGCTCCACTCTAATCCCAAACAGTGTTGTCACCCCCTGCTGGACTACAGAACACGTGGAGGGAAATTTACTAAAACTAATGCACACAACATCTGGTGCAGCTGTGCATAGTAACCAATCAGCTTCCAGCTTTTAGGCTCTGATTTTGAAATTTTGCAACAGACAGTGAAGTCGCAAGATATCAAAATTGGGTGAGATGCCGATTTCCTTGAGATTTGCAAGACATCTGACACAGATGTGTATGCAAATCGCAGCAAAAGAAGTAGGTGCAGGGGCGGATTGACCATTTGGAAACTCGGGCACTGCCCGAGGGCCCGGGGTCAGTAGGGGGCCCCATGAGATGCCCCTGGTACCTTTTTCATAGGCTTTTTTGAGTTTGGCCAAGGACACAGGGGCCCCATGATCCCCTATTGCCCGGGGGGCCCCATGAGTTGTCAGTCCGCCGCTGAGTACGTGTGCTACTTTTGAAATCAGTGCGGCTCAGACCAAGTTGGGCCCGCACCGATATGACCGCTCTGATAGCAGACAATAGGGTGCGACTTGGCATGCGATTTGCAAATCTCAGGGCATGCAAATCGCATGCCAAGTCACATCCAGTGTGAACCATCCTTTATTGTCAAAGCTTAACTCCTTCCCGCCGGCGCCTCCCAGCCCTTTAAGAGTTTCAGACACCGGGTGGCGGGGCGGGTGGGGCGTGGTTTAGGGATCATGTGACCGCCGTGATGCGTCGTGACGGTGGTCACATGATCGGGAAAGGTCCTGACCGAAAGAGCAGACCGGGACCTTTTCGTGAGTACCGGACATGTGTGCTGGGAGCTCTCAGCACATATGATTTTTCTTACCTGAACGCAAATGTGCGGCCGCTCGGCGTCTAGGCACAGACGCTGGAAGGCCACACATTGGTGTGCGGCCGGCGGGAAGGGGTTAACTGAACAAGCTGAAGTTAAAAGCTGGTTGGTTTCTACACACAGCTGCACCCGATTCCGTATGCACCAGTTTTAGTAAATCTCCCCCATCCTGTTATAGAGATGAGGAGAGGGGCAGGGGTTCTGTAGCACTCTATTTGGTCCCAGGGACCCTGCGAGGTGCCCTCTGGATTCTGGTTGCAGCAGATTTCGTAGATTAAGGTACACATAGGAAACAGTCAGACATTAGATGAATTGCTCCAAAGACATGCTGGGTGGTGGTGAATTGGCTCCTGTCTAAGGCTCTGTTCACACCAATGCATTTTTAGTGCTTTTTGCAGAAACGCACTACAGTCCATTTAACATGGTTTCCTATGGAAGACGTTCACATCTGTGCTTTATTTAGCTGCTGCGTTTTCGGAAAGTGTCAAGGACTTTTTAAAAGCAAAAATCAGCATTATTGCTACAACAGAGTTCAATGGAGAATCTACTGAAATACATGGTAGTGCGTTTTTGCTGCGATTTTGCATTTTTATTCTGCCCAGCAAAAAAAAAAATCCGCTTAAGCCCGGGTTCACACTGATGCGGTGTGGAATTCTCAGCGGTTTCTGTCCGAATTGCACACCGCATCACGATCGCACCCCGTTCATGAGAACCACTGCAGATGTGTATGGTAAGTTAGCCTTGGTTCACACTTGTGCGGTGCGGCATACCACATGTGATTCGCACAGGAACCGCACCCTATTTTCGTGCAAATCACATGCGAATTGTGTGCGGTGCAATTTTGTATGGCTCAAATCGCACTGCATCCACACCAAAAAGGTACAACCCTTTTTTTTTTGTCCGCACTAGAATCCGATCGCATGTGTATTCACACCTATGCAATCCGATTCTGCACATCACGCCGCATTTTGCCGACCGATTTCGGGGTGTATGGTAAATACACACCAGCAGCGGTTCGTATGAACGGGGTGCGATCTTGATGCGGTGTGGAATTCGCACAGAAACCGCTGCAAATTCTGCAATGTGAACCTGGGCTTAACTACACTTCAAAATCAGTCTGCAGCAGGGGCGGACTGACCATTTGGAAACTCAGGCACTGCCCGAGGGCCCAGGGTCAGTAGGGGGCCCCATGAGATGCCCTTGGTACCTTTTTCATAGGCTTTTTTGAGTTTGGGCAAGGACACAGGGGCCCCATGATCCCCTAATGCCCGGGGGCCCCATGAGTTGTCAGTCCGCCCCTGGTCTGCAGAACGCAGTCCCAAAAAAGGGGTCCTGCACCTTTTTGGTGCGGATGTGGTGCGATTCGAGCAGTACAAAATGTATGGCTCAAATCGCACCGCACAGAATTAGCATGTGATTTGCACAGGAATGCAGTACAGTTCCTGTGGGAATTACATGCAATATGCTGCACCGCACAAGTGTGAACCAAGGCTAACTTACCGTACACAACTGCAGTGGTTCGCATGAACGGGGTGCGATCGTGATGCGGCGCGGAATTCGGACAGAAACCAAAATCTCGGCAAAAATGTGTGTAGAAAAATGCAACATGAACTGCAAAATGGACAAAAACCAAAATGCATAGGTGTGAATGGAGCCTAAATTGTCCCTAGTATGTGTATGTATGAATGTGAGTTAGGGACCTTAGATTGTACGCTCCTTGAGGGTTAGGGACTGATGTGAATGTACAATATATATGTGTAAAGCGTGGAGTACATTGATGGCGATATATAAGTACCTGAAATAAATAATAAACATAAAATAAAATCAATTGCTTTGTTTGTTGGATTGCATCTTTAGCCCCATGATTGGCTCCATGTGTTCTCTTTCATTTTCAGTTTTAGGCCAGGAGGAATTCTGCATTTTCAATGTGCTGTAAATGTAAAAAAAAATTCTATGTGCAAAAATAAACATTTTGGTGTTGGTTAAAATTTAAACTGGACCTCCAAATTTGAAAGTAATGTCATATCTTACCATGTTTCACAGCTACAGAATTATTTACAGGGGAACTCTTCCTTCCATATGGTACCTGCCCGCCCGATCTTACTTCTTCCTGACAATTTGAAATGTTTCATATCCGGCCTCTCAATGCCTCCAGCTGATT